ACCCCCTTTCTACAGTTCCCTTTTGCCTCTCTAACACGGCCAAAACACGCACAGTCGGCGTTGTGAGAGCCAGATACTTGAAACAGAATGCAAGTCGAAGAAGTAGATGGACCTCTAATCCTGAGAACGACGCAACATTTCAATAAAACGACAGCTAGCTGTTGAAATTTACTATGCCCAATTTTTTTTTTTTTCTTTTTATTTCACTTCTATAAACTATAGTATCGTCGTGCTCAATAATATTTTATCGAAGCTCAAATTTTAAATGTTAAAAGAAAAACAACCGTGTAGGAATGAAACCGTTCTTTTTCCCCTCAGATCTAAAATTTTGCTTTCTGTGCTGGCTTAGTACACTTGGACAGTTGTGGAAGAAAACTTTATCTGCATTAGCATATTCACTATAAGTTTTGAACAATATAAACCAGCCAAGATGAGGGAAGTGGCGTCGGTGGCCTAGTGGTTAGGTTACCTGACTTGTAATCGTGATATTGCATGTTCGGCGGTTCGAGCCTCAACTCGATCCGACGTTACGTCTTTGGGAAAGGCACTTTAAACGAATTCTTTTTGGCCCAGTTCTTTCGGAGATGAACGTTAAATTCGGAGGTCTCGCCTCTTAAATAACCTAATAGTTCTGATAGAGGCGTTAAACCTATACCATTTCAAGATGAGGCACGATACATATATATGAGAAAGCAACAGCAGTCCAAAAACGGCGTTCAAAATCATGACACTGAAAATTGCCCTTAAGGAGAGAAAATCTAATTCGAGTGCCAAGAGAGGATCGTTTATAACTTTCTATTATTAATATACTTATATTTCTAAATAATCATTTGTAATACATTAAGTATTCATGAATAAATTCTCTGGGAAAGCACGCTTCAAATTAAGTTTGTTTTTATTCACTTCTTTCAGAGTTCTGTCTCTTTGTACTAGCAGTGTGTTTGTCTTCAAGTCCATTATGTTTCCGTCATCCTTGCTGTATTTATTTAATTTTTTTTTTTTGTTATTAAAAAAAACCCGCGTCTGTGGTGTAGTGGTTAGTAGCTTCGCAGTCGCACACAGGAGACCCGAGGACGCCTGCGAGTGGGAAGAATTTTTCTCGAGTATCTCGGTCTTTTTGCTGGGATATTGTATTACTCTCTGCCGAGATTGGCTCTGTCAGGCTGGGTCGGAACCCGGTCCCCTAAATGATCTAAATGTGTCGATGAGGGTCAATAAACATATTTTAAAAGAGTTTATTAATAAAAAGTCAGAAGGATCAGTCCCTCTGGGGAACGTCATATGTGTCGGATCTTCGGCGTTCCTGAATATGAAGGAAATTGTTATCGAGTGTCTTCCTCTCTCTGCTTGGATCATGTATCGCGTTCAACTTGGTTTGGCTGTGACAGGCAGCCTCGAAACCGAGCGCCTACCAAATGATCGGCCTAGTGTCGGTTGGGGGATGTGGGGGAGGGGGGAGGAGGGTGGGGGCTAGTTGCTCAAAGCGCCTGAAAATTCAGTGAAAATACATTATTAATTCAAATCTAAAGGATAAGTCCCTTGGGAACATCGATGGTTGTGCACAATACTCATGTTGACAAACTGTTATCGAATTTGTGACACTCCCGACTGGGCTTATCAATGCGTGTGAGTGTGTGTTTGTGTATCAATGTGTGTGTGTGTGTGTGTGTGTGTGTGTGTGTGTTTGTGTATGTGTGTGTGTGCGCGCACGTGTGTGTGTATGTGTGTGTGTATGTGTGTGTATGTGTGTGTATGTGTGTGTGTGTGTATGTGTGTGTGTGTGTATGTGTGTGTGTGTGTGCGCGTGCGTGTGTGCGTGTAAGTTAATCTGTTCGGAGGTGAACTTTTCATAGCTTCCACTCTGGAATCTCACTGGAGTTTCCTACTTGTGACGGAGAAACTCCTAACCATTGCACCACGGGCGCCCGTGTGGGAATCAGTGTTATCAGATATCCCCGTCGTTTCGCTGAGAAACTGTAGACCGCATTGTTAACATTGGTTTCACGACTGTGTGGAATCATGCATTCGTCAGATTTTGGTTATATGGTTTTATTGATATCGTCTTAATTAAAGATTGTTCATTTGTCATTTTTTGGTCTAAAAAATGCTCGTATCTTGATTAGAAGTCGAGATATTTTCTACCTTGTGTCAACTGTTTTCTGTAAAATCCGCACTGAAATGTATTTTATATAAATCAAAATGATGTTAAACCAAGAAAGAAAATATCGATATAGAATTCCCCACACAGGCGTTAAATGTTGGTTTCTTGGACTTCATAATTGACAAACGCCTGATTTCACCACGATGTCTCCAGATTCTTAAAGGCAGAGTCGAGACAGCCCAATTGGAAAATAAATCTAGTCTAAATCAACGCTTATTAACTTTTTAAAGCTACTCACTTTTAACACATTCAAGAGCCTAAGATTTTCGCACTGTCCACCAACATGAACCTCCAAGCGGGGCAATCAATAACAATTGAACTACCTGAGCATTTCTATTCCTGCAAAATTCATCATACTCTGTATAACTTCGAAGAGGGTGGTTGGTGGACGCTTTGGTGTGATTTATACCTTATTTCCTATCGAACATCTATCGTCATTTTTTCTCCGACTTTTTTCCTTTGTATGTTACTATTGTGTAACACCTCTAATCTTGAGCAACTATATGACCTGTTTGAGTTGCAAGTGTCGTAAATCCTTACTAAAACTACAAACTAAAAGGCGTTACTTCGACAGCCATGGTCTGTTAAGATATCCACAAAAGAGACCAAAATAAATGCCTGCAAAGATGCCATCCAAAATGACCAATTACTCACAGTCACTAATGAACATAATCTTCACTTGGGATTATCTGTTCATTAAAGTGAAATTTGTTGTAAAAGTCAGCCTGTCCTCAGTTTCTGGTCAACTTTTAAACAATTCGTTTGAACAATACAAATCGATACTCTCTCCTACGAATCGTAGCTTCGTTAAAAGCGGACACGACTACGACACTAAAGAAACAAAAATCGATTCCCTTTTCGGCATGTCCATTCACAAGAGTCTGAAGATAAGAATGAATTCCGGATGAATCGTAATCGTTATCCTTCAGGGCTCCTCTTTGCCTTTGTTATTTTCCAAGAACGGCTTTCCAAGCCTATGAAATGACTAATTGTATACACAGGCAAACAAACAAACAAGTGAATGTACAAAATAAATAAGAAAAATACAGTCAAGTGAACATTTATAGTTTTCGTATTTACCGTAAACAGACGAAAGTGAACAGTAGCTGGTTTTTAAACGCCCAGGTTGGCAAGCAGGGGATTAAAGCTTTGTTTGGACAAGATCAGTTTTCCTCTTCTCAGCCTCTGGCCAGCCAGCTCCTCACCGCTCTCTGTATAATCCTTGCAGCTTTCTGGCGTGGTGAGAGCATAAAGGTCGCCCACCTTGACACAAGCGTAAAAAAGTATAAGTATAGATATATAATTGACTGGACTAGATCAAGACTCAAGTAGATGGGTTTGGGTGATGAGAATGGGAAAAAGGGAGAGGAGGAGCGGGTGATACAAAAAGGGACATACAGAGTAGAATGTGTGCATTGATATTATATACAGTATCATAGTGTGTGTGTGTGTGTGTGTGTGTGTGTGTGTGTGTATGTGTGTGTGTGTGTATGTGTGTGTGTGTATGTGTGTGTGTGTATGTGTGTGTGTATGTGTGTGTGTATGT